ATGGATTTACTTAACAAATTATCTAAAACCCAGATCTACAGGTCCTTTTATCTTTGATGAATGGAGGATTAATTTTTTCCATGGCAATATCCGTTAAAATACTTAATTTATTTTCTGTTACCCTCTGATCGAATAAATAACATACGTCTCCTGTCTATTTGTACATTATTATGCTGGTTCATTAATTATTACTTGGCTTGACTTCTATTCGACAAGAACCTCAGTTGGTGTAGTCACTGTAGCTTTATATTATCACATTAAGTCCAAAACTTTGGGTCTAATTTGATTTAAAATTACTTCCAGAAATTTTACAAATTGTGATTTAATTCCAATTTAGTACTTTTCAATATACAATGGAGCTATAAATTTTAGTTTTAAAGATAATGTAAACGAGTCTTAAAAGGTTTCAATACATGTGAAATATATTTTTTCGAATTTGGCTAATTTCCCAAACTTGACAAATTAATAAAATTAATTATTTATCTATAAAGCTAACTTGCAAAGATTTTAATTTACATCAGAACATTTCATAATTCATCAGTTTTCAATTTTCTATGAAACTTATCAATCTTGATTATCAATTTTTGAAAGTAAAATTCACACGTTAATAATTAATGACAAATGAAAGATGTAATATTATCTAAAATGGATAAAAAATAAACCAAAAATGATATTTTAGAAATTTTCCATTTGTATAGGTTTCCGAATTAATGACTATTTGCAAAATTGTATAATCTAAAAACTGGGGAAATAACTGCTAAAAGCACTCAATAAAATAATCTGTTTATACAGCTTTTGAGTGCAACAAATAAAGATAAAACTGTCCATTTATTGTTCCATATATATTTGAAAAGTTAATAAAATACAAAAAAATAAGAATATATTGTTAGCACCTTGACTACTTCATATAATATTTCTAATAAAATGATTACAACGAATTAAATCAATCTTAATATGCGTATATAATCGCACAAATCTCATAAAATATTTATTAATATTTAGTCGAATCAGCCTTCAGCAAGTAAAAGTTAACGGAGACGAAGCTAAAACGAAGTTAGTGCTTAAAATATGAAGTCGCAATTGATCTTTAGTCATGGAATTTAAAATACGAAAGTGCCATAAGGAATATTAAGAGACAAATATGAGTTTTATTTCCCAAAAGCCAGAAGTTTATGTCTTTGAGGCCGATTCTCACCGAGCATTTTCCGTAGGAGAGTGAGATCACTGTTGAAGGAGAAATCCATAGGTACCCTCGCGATTCGAGCAAACTGTGGAGACTGCATTTCGTTCTCTCTTTCTGCTTCAAGTTCATCCAACAATTCACTGTCTTCAGAATCTCTAAATGGCATTCTTGGTCTGGTGATTTGATTCTTCAGTGGTTTTGAGGCTGCAATGGCTACGTATATGCTTAATAGCAAGAGTAGACGCGGTTGAAACATTTTTAGTAAGGGTTTCCTTTAACTGTCTGAAGTTGATCTATTTAATTGCATGGGAAGACCAATAGGAGAATGAGAAAATATGATTGGACAGAGAGGGGTACGAAATTTTTAGAATGTTCTATGGACAACATTTACATAGTCTATTATATTTAAATACACTATCTTTAAATACTTCTCCATAGCTTTCTCCTCAATCTTCCCTCCTTAAAACTCTAAATTATTTTCTTAAAATTACTGAAAGTTTTTATGTAGCGCTATGATTATCAGTTTTAATGTAATTTATAGTCTTTTGATAATTAAAATTAATAATAAAGGGCAGAAAGCTCTAAACCGCTCCGCCTAAAGTGAATTGTAACAAAAGCTTTGAGAAGACTACTAAGTTTAGAACCCAACTACCTTTTTGATTGTTAAGAAGTATGTTTATCTGAGAATAGATCAGATGATGATGAATTTTAAGAAAGTCTGAAAATTAGGGAGAATCGTATGGCCATGTTTAAAAATATCGCGCTTATTGAAACTATTTTAATCCTGACAAACTTCTCCCACGAACCCACAGTACCTGCGTTTTCTGATTCTGGTTTCTATTTCATTCCTCCACACACTGCGCCCCACACACTTCCATCTATCTTGCAAAATACCAACCGCCCCCTCCCAAAGTGGAAAAAGCTGAAAAAATCGTTAATCTCATTATTGTGCCTCATTTTTCTGGTTCAAATTTTTTACCCATACAGTGATTGATTACATCTATTCGGGTTGGTTTTGGTGTTCATTTGATGTGGATCAGGGAATGGGGAAAATTTGATATATACGTGATAATACAGATCCTGAAAGTATTTCTCAGCTATCTCATCTCTGCACTGAAAACTGATAAAATTATTTTAAAAAATCAAACTTTTGGAGGATAATTATTTTAATTTAATACCACTGACCAATGTGCTTACTAGTCTTGTTCCTAAGCATAGATCGATAAAAACAAGCTGTTTATTGTAATTCTAGTGTCAAATATTGAAAACTGATCGTTCGAGCATGATCTTAACCTAAGGAGAAAAAATTAAATGAAGCAAAAAAACGAAAATGTTTTTTTTTAATTTTTTCTCATTAATAATTTACCTGACCTTCTGCTGGCCACTTTCAGCAGTTCCACTCACCAAAAAAACAATGTACATTAGCCAGTCAATCATTGCAATTGTCACTTTGCAAGATTTATCGTAATGAATATGCATTGTGCCCCATTTTTATCTGAAAATTGAATGGGGATTATTGAGGGAAATGTTAACTGCTTAATGAGTTTATGTAATTGTGTATTTTCGCAGGATTTTGTTCAGAATACATCTAAAATTTTCTGTATTTATTTTTTGAGTTTATTTTTGAGTAAGTTTTAGTGAGAATCCAATAAAAATGGAACCCACTTTTGACTGATCGAAAGGAAATTCAAAGGATATTTTTATGGCGATGAATTGACCAATTTTAAATATTGAAAATGAAATTAAAATTTTCACTAGACTTGTCTTTGTAGTACTTGGGCACAATATCTCACATATCTGATAGTTCGGCCTTTGTCTTGCATGACCATAATCTCATATAGTCTTTCTTAGTCAATATTTTATCGGTTATTGGTCGATTTCTCCTTCAAAATCATATAGTGACTCGGGATAAACGTTAATTAGTTCCTCAAATTATATTCTTTATAGCCTTCTTTCTGTCCTAAAGCCCTTTTATTCACTTTTCTTCACTCATCTATTTCTCATATTGTCAGATTAAGCTAGAAACCTACTTAACTTGGAGGAACTTTGTTACCCGCTGGCCTTAGGAAGACGAATAATTATGCAAATAGATGTTGGACCTAATTTAATGGGAGTCCTGAAGTAGCTTTTGTCGTGATTTGCCCGGAGGGCTGATGCAGATAACCGCCATATAAATGAAAATATATGTTTAAATGGTTCATTTTTACAGCATTGCAGCAAATCATGAAAATATTATCGAGCACCTTTTAATATGGAGAAAATACGTAGTTATTATTTGTAATATAATGAAAGTCTACATTTTCTGATCTTGACAAAATATTCTAGAACTCACTTAGGCTGGTAACAACCGTAAAAACCATTGTAGCATGCATCATTTTCATCATTAAAGCTCATTGTGAGCATACACTATACAATGTGGATGATGCTATCCAAATTTGCCTACACCATTGCAAACATTTGTAATTTGGTTGCACAGCTGCGTCTCTTCCAAACCATTACTGAATTCAATCGCAACAAACCTGAACACATTTCCCACGTCTTTGCCTCATAGTCACGGGCTAGGCATAATCCTTGCTCTTACGGGTCTTTGCACGACGAAGCACGAAAGCAAACCAACCGGACACCAAGCACTGCAATTTGCATTCTCTGTGAAATCAATTTCGGAGAATTTTTCTACTCCTTGTAAGAACATAACAAATTCAATACTCGAATAATTCATGCGCAGATATAATCGATTTGACCTCTATTACCTACTTCGCGTCCCTTTCTCCCTTTCCTTACCAGTCTCATTTGGCGTTTGATTCAAACAAACACTCTCAATGGTTAAATAAGTTTTGCATTACCACGCGACATGATAATGTTTTAAACATCAGATTAAATTTTTCTTTGAACGGATACAATGAACGCAGCTTGTTGCGCAAATTTAGTCAGAATCAATAAAAAGGTGAGGGGTGTGCGACAGACTTACCTCCACGTAGTGCACCCTGGGCAACGTAAACTCATACGGCAAAAGGGTCTGTAAATCGGCAGTTGACTTCTGACTTCTAACTACAATCACCCCACTCTATGTCATAGTCGGCTCCTTCCACAGGACACACCTCACCTTCTTCTCTATCTTTTTGTTCGTTTCTTTTACATCCTTGAATCACTCTTCTGTTCCTCCATTTCGACTATTTTCCGCTTTGTTGTTCCTTCCCCCCTGTGGAGCCTGAAGTCAACAAAAGGGCTAATGGTAACTATCAAAAAGCCTGCCATTTGATATAAATAAATAATAAGGTGAAAAAGAAGCCACCAAGAGTAACAATCTGACTATTGTGTTTCCAAAACCGGCCTGAAAACTAGGGGAAAAATGATGGAATTCTAGCACTGAAGTATTTGTGTACGACGTTGAGATCCTTTTTTCCCTAGTAAAGATATTTGCAAAATCACCTTCCATTTTCTCTCCCCGCCCCACTGCATTTCCAGCCTCTTAATTAGCGGAGCGAGCCAAAGTCCTCGCATTATTAGAAATTTGGAAATTTAGAACTTATGATTAGCAACGTTGTTAATATCCTTATCATCCTCCTAAAAAGTGAAAGCCATTGAAATGTTGTCTCATGGCGAACACCCTATCAAAGATAGTGAAATTAGTAGTTCAAGCCTTATCAGGGATGGGTAGATATAATACGAGAACTGAAGCAATAATTCGGGAGGAGTCTAAAATTTTCACGCTATCTGGGAAAAATTAAAAAATATACTAATATATGTCACTTTGGCAGAGAGATGGTACCCCGGAGTCGTCCTAAAACGGAACTCACAGTCTACAACGATTTTTATTCGATCGATTTTATAAGGAAGGGGGGGGGGTTGTTATCTCCTCCCCTGAATTCGACTAGAATTGATCCTGCGACATCTGACTTGACAGATTTGTACTTTGAACACGTCATCATCAGCGAGTAATAATAATCAAATATTGACTTATCAACCATGACAAGGTGAAATGATTTAGCTTGAGATATTAGCTTAAGAATAAGTACAAAGTGCGGTTAATGATTTGAAATCAATTGGAAGCTTTGACGGACTAAAGTAGAACACTTTTCGCTATATGCACATCGACTAGAGTTTGCCTTTAAAATGTGCAAATTTCTATCATCACGATATTTCTCCTGCATTTCTGAAATGTCTCATGCACACAATTACATGAGCTTATAAACTAATCTTTTTCCTGAAAGATTGACACACGGCTGTAAAATGTTTTTTTCTTCCGATAAAAAAATAACAAAGTGGCAAAATCTATCTCCATCAAAATGTAATTAAACTCAATAAAAGCCATAATCACAAGGCATAGTGCTTAAGACTACGAATACTGACTAAAGCCAGCGGAAATGTTGGTGACTTTAAATTCATTCACCAATCACTACTCAAATTATGAATTAGTCTTGTATTAAATGTAATTGTTCACATGACAGCTTCATTAGGCACGCACAAAATGGTCAAAGGTACTTAGTCCAACTCACTTAGGTAAACTTATCTGTGCAGTATTATTAGCGAAAGTCTAGTAAATTTTTCAATTCTATTCAAAATGAATACTATTTGATACAAATTTATTTATTTATTTCAAACGGCAGGCGTTTTGATATTTATCATTAGTCCTTTAGCTGACTTCGGGCTTCACAGAGAGCAGGGGGGCATCAAAGTGACAAAAGATCGAGAGGGGGAAGAGAAGAGTGATTCAAAGGTGTAAAAGAAGCAGACAAATACAAAGACTGAGAAAAGATAAGATGAATACTGTGCAAGTGGTGAAACATGACATACAGTGGGGTCATGGTAGTTTGAAGTCAGAATTCAACTGCCGGTTAATAGACTTTTTTGTCATATGAGAATACATTGCCCGAGATGCACCACGTAGAGGTAACTCTATCGCACACCCCATTCGTTACAACTTTTTAATACTCTAATTAAATACAGTGACTTGTTTCCCTTATTACATAAATAGCTGCAACCAATCATCTCTTCTCACGCATTTCCGAGTAATTCAAGTATAATCACGTTCAAATGATATAGATGGGGCTTATAAACACAACTCATTGGGAATTCCAGAAGATTCCCAAGGAAACACGTCTGGTCTAGTTTCCACTCGATTTATTCTGTGTCGATGTCGCATTGTCCAACGACTGAGCTAATCTCATTTCAATGAAGGCACTTTTCATGGGATTCGATACTGATAATTCCGATATATTTGCATATTAGGCTATTTTGTTGTATCAAATGCACAAT